TGTACTTTATTCTCCATTCATGGTGCAATGAGAGCTTGCAACCCTAGACATGCAAATGGCAGCTAAACTTGTTATTTAACTTTCTCAATCTGAAATCATGTAAAATTTGAAGAGGTCATTCCTATTCTTGGTTGGGATTTTTCTTTTTTTTTTTTTGAAGACATTGTCGAACTAGATAACATTAGTACCAGAAGGCAATGGGGTTTGTTCTCATTTTGTATATGTTTTATTATCAATATCTACATTATTATTATCTATATATCATTCAAAGGAGACAGTCAAAAAGCCCAAAAGGAAACAGAAAACTCATATACACATCATCAGTAATCAGCATCCAGAAGAACAGATGAACAGAGATGAGACTAAACTAATGACAAAGAAGTAAACAATTCCTTAATCAATGAACAGCCAACACAGTCAAACAAGCTAACAATAAACAACAGCCTAATCAAGGAACCACTAAGACCACTTCCATTAACACTTATAGGGCAAGCCACTAGTATATAAAATGAGAGCAAACCCATTTCTTTGTAACACTGATGATGTTACCTAGTTTGGTAATGAAATGTCTGCAAGAAAACAACCAAGCTAAGGGAGCACTAAGGATCATGCAGTTCAACCCAGAGGTATATTCTCTTCCATCAGTACCAAGAATAACTTTAGAATACACTTTATATTAATACAAAAGCATGACATTATAAAAATAAAGACAATTCAATTTTTAGTTATTTCTAAATAATTTCTGCCTTACTTATTTATCTAAAAAAATGTGTTGAATTACAAATCAGCAGACAATAATTACTGATCATGATTTATCATCATTCCTTAGAGTAGCATATCTGGTGTCCCCAAACTATGATATGTCTTCAACTTCCAGCACTTCCAACCAGCAAGGCCAAAAGCCAAGAATTGTAGGAGTTGTAGTCCCAATATAGATTCTAGGGAAGTAGCCTTAAAGCAGCGGTTCTCAACTTGTGGGTCACGACCCTTTTGGGGGTCGCACGAGCCTTTCACAGGGGTCGCCTACGACCATTGGAAAACACATATTTCTGATGGTCTTAGGCAGGGCTTGTCAACCGCCTTCTCTCCCTCCCCCCCTCGCTCCACCTCACTTGTTTGTGGAAAATATGCTGCTTGGCGGCAATCTGCACGAACTCTACCAAATGTGCCCTGCAGGGGGCACATGAACAGCGTAGGCGCAGAGCAAGGCCCCACCCTCCCCAGAGACTCATTGTGCAGCAACCGGATTGACTTCTTCTCATGCACACAGGTCAGCGAAGGGGAGGCCGCTGCAGCACCCAACTCCTGTGCCCGCCAGCTGACGCAAGAGGGAGGGAAGGAGGAAGGAACTGTTTCTCCTCTCCTAAGCTTCAAAGCACAATCGGCTTCCAAAGGGCGCCATAATCCTCACAACAGCGGGGGATGGGGGAGAAGCAAAGGGGGCGAGAAAGCTCATGGCGGGCTCGAAGCAGCACCTGCCAGCCTTGGTGACGAGAAATTCCCCACAAACCCAGGGTAGGGGTGGAGAAAAGGAGCCCTCTTTGGGAGGAAACCTCCACCTTCTTCTCCTTGGCTTTGCGCTCTTCTGTTTCTCGGCAGCCGGGCTGGCAAGCCTCTCCTGGCTGGAACTTCCTTTCCTTCCCTCCCTCTTGGTCTCTTCCTCCTTCCCTCCCTCTCCCATTGTCCCTTCTTTCCTTCCTTCCTTCCTTCCTTCCTTCCTTCCTTCCTTTCCTTCGCCTCCCTCTTTGTCCCTCCTTCCCTCCCTCTCCTTGTCCCTTCCTTCCTTTCGCCTCCCTCTTTGTCCCTCCTTCCCTTCCTCTCCCCCTTGTCCCTTCCGTCTTTCCTTCCTTCCCTCTTGTCCAGGATCGGGGCGAGCCTCTACAGCTGATCCGCGCTTCTTCAGCTGCAGCTGCTCTCCTTGGCTCCTGCCCAGCAAACTTGCTTGCTAGAAAACATGCGCTTGCTAATTTAGCAGAAGCGCGAATCATCTGTAGCCTGGCGCTGATCCTGGAGCTTCTGCTAACGTAGCAAGCAGCCTGCCTTTCGGCGAAGCTGAGCAAGTGAGCTGGGCGAGCTTTCCTCTGTCTCTGCCTGTGCACAGGCAGGTTTGCTGGCAGTAAAGCCCCCAGCCACGCTGGCAGCCTATCCCCCTCCTCTTGTCCCTTCCTGGGCATGGAGGGGGGGGAAGGAAGGAAGGGACGAAGAGTGAGGGAAGTAAGGAACAATGAGAGAGAGAAGGAAGGGAGGAACAATGGAAAGGAGGGAAGGGAGGAAGGGACAAAGAGGAAAAGAAGGAAGGAAGGAAGGAAGGAAGGAAGGAAGGAAGGAAGGAAGGAAGGAAGGAAGGAAGGAAGGGACAATGGAAGAGAGGGAGAGAAGGAGGAAGAGACTAAACAGGAGGTGAAGGAAAGGAAGGAAGGAAGGAAGGAAGGAAGGAAGGAAGGAAGGAAGGAAGGGAGGGAGGGAGGGAGGAAGGAAGGGAGGGACAATGGGAGAGATTGGGAAGGAGGAAGAGACTAAGAAGGAGGTGAAGGAAAGGAAGGAAAGAAGGAAGGAAGGGACAATGGGAGAGAGGGAGGGAAGAAGGAAGAGACTAAGGGAGGGGAAGGAAAGGAAGGAAAGAAGGAAGGAAGGAAAGGACAATGGGAGAGAGGGAGGGAAGGAGGAAGAGACTAAGAAGGAGGTGAAGGAAAGGAAGGAAGGAAGGAAGGGACAATGGGAGAGAGGGAAGGAAGGAGGAAGAGACTAAGGGAGGGGAAAGAAAGGAAGGAAAGAAGGAAGGAAGGAAAGAACAATGGGAGAGAGGGAGGGAAGGAGGAAGAGACTAAGCAGGAGGTAAAGGAAAGGAAGGAAGGAAGGAAGGAAGGAAGGAAGGAAGGAAGGAAGGAAGGAAGGAAGGAAGGAAGGAAGGAAGGAAGGGACAATGGGAGAGAGGGAAGGAAAGAGGAAGAGACTAAGGGAGGGGAAGGAAAGGAAGGAAGGAAGGAACAATGGGAGAGGGTGGGAAGGAGGAAGAGACTAAGAAGGAGGTGAAGGAAAGGAAGGAAAGAAGGAAGGAAGGAACAATGGGAGAGGGAGGGAAGGAGGAAGAGACTAAGAGGGAGGTGAAGAAAAGAAGGAAGAGACAAATGGAGAGAAGGGAGGGAAGGAAGGCAGGCACCCCACCCCAGTCCCATCTCAGAGACCCACAGATTCCCCCCCCACAGGCACTCTGCAACCTGAGTGATCAGCTGGCCACGTCCCCTGGCCATTAGTCACATGACCCTGGGACATTGTGAACGTCATAAGTGTGAAAAATGATCATAATTCGCTTTTTCAGTGCTGTTGTAACTTCAAACAGTCACTAAGCGAATTGTTGTAAGTCGAGGACTACCTATACTTTCCCATTTTTTCCTTTTTTTTGGTCAAGTTTTTGATACCCCCCCCCCGGCCAGCTGGATGGGGGGGTTCGGGGTCACCACAACATGAGGAACTGTATTAAAGGGTTGCGGCATTAGGAAGGTTGAGAACCACTGTCTTAAAGCTATATGAAAGTTATTTTATACAACAAAGACTATCTATTCTCTCTGAATTTATCTCCATCAGATAGTAATCAATGATGAAAACATAAGATGCATTTGTTGCCCTGTGATACACACTTCTACCTGTCTCTTCCCAATGAAGATAAGATTGTTATAAATAAAAGAGGGGTATCTATGGGTGTGAATTTGGATAGGATTTCTTATAAGGAACTACTTAGATTGGTAGGGAATGATTGGCAATTAAAACCATTAGTTGAGTTAAAGCAAGAAAATATTGTACAATCTTGGTTTCAGTATAATCAATTGTTGGCTAGGTGGAAATTAGATCAAAAGGTTGGTATTATTTCAATGGATGAGAATTTGGTAAAACAGATTAAAGATCAAAACCGAACACATATAAAGAGAATGTATAATGCTTTAATAGAATTGGATTCAGAAATGGACTTAGTTAAAGATTGTATGGTAAAATGGCCCCAAAATATTCAAGAACCGATTCCATTGGATATACGGGAGGTAATTTGGGTTAGAAATGTAAAATTTACCCAGGTCCAAAATTTAAGAGAAAATTTTTATAAAATGTTTTATAGAAGGCATCTGGATCCTAAAAAGTTGTCTTGTATCTATCCTAATTTACAGCCCAAATGTTGGAGATGTGGTAGTTTGGATGCTACTTATTTTCATATCTGGTGGACTTGCAGAAATATAAAAGCTTTGTGGATTAAGATTTGGTGGAACATTCAAAAGATTTTTAGGAGAAAGATAAAGTTTACTCCACAATTATTTTTATTGGGTGTTATTGTAGATTGTGATGCTAAAGAAACTAATTTGATGTTGAATTTGATAACAGCTGCAAAGTTATTGGTAGGGCAATATTGGAAGGATTGTTTGCCTACTATAGAAGAATGGACGCTTAAAGTCTCAAATTTAGCAGAAATGGCTAAGACTTCTGCTTATTTGAAGGATCATTCACAAGAAAGATACATTTCGGTTTGGAGAAGATGGATAGATTATATTCAGAATAAATATGGGACTAAAAAGTTCCATTTACTTTATGAGTAAATTTTAGAGTATTATTATTACTAATAGTTTACTATAGTGGAATTTTATTAGTTTTATTATTATTTTTAGTATTCATATTGTTTAACAATTTGGATATTGTATTGTTCAAGAATTAGGATATTAACTTGTTTATATTATTATGTTTATTTTTAATTTGTTTATTTTTATGTTAAAGGGGAGTTAAAGCACATTATGGACTTGGCTATTTACATAGCTGGTTAATGTTAGTTAGAGTATGATTATTATATTTGTTACCCTGTACTCAGCTCTGGGAAGTGGGGGAGGGAGAGGGGAGGTTTAGGGTGGGTGGGTTTTGGGGTGTATATTGTAACTTTTATAAAAATTTTCAATTAAAAAAAAAGATTGTTATAAATAAAAGTGCAAATTATTTTTAGCACACAGATTTTGCTAAGCACTCACGTTTCTCTCCAGTGTGTAAATGCTGGCGGTTCTGCTTGCCCTAGTTTAACAGCCCTTTGCAGAAATATTCAGTGGTGACATCAAGCTGATTTATCCCAAACAGGACTCAGGGAGAAGTGAGGTATTTATTCTCTCTTCCTGTCTCCAAATTAGCATTCTGTGTTTGCTGTCCAATGCAATTTTCACCAGTATCCAGGAAAACAGTAACTTATTTTCTAAAAAAATAAATAAATAATAATCATAGATTAAAACAATAAAATTTAACAGAAATGAAGATAGGGCAATCCAGCAAAACAGAGTTAATAATAATAGAAATATATAATATAGGACTGGATGTTCAAATTATTATGATCTTTTCCCTATATATAACTTAAAACTTTTATCATAGCATGGTTCAGCCATTGTTAAGGTGATGTAAGACCTATCCATATTAATGTTATTTTGACATAACAGTTCCATAATCTAAAACAGTGTTTCCCAAACTTGACAATTTTAAGGCATGTGGACTTCAACTCCCAGAATTCCACAGCCAGCGTTGCTGGCTGTGGAATTCTGGGAGTTGAAGTCCTCATGCCTTAAAATTGTCAAGTTTGGGAAACACTGATCTAAAAGATGCCATGAAGAGACATGATACTCTGAAAACGCAGCCCAATAATATTAGAACAAAAACAATGGGGTCTATTCAATTCTAAGCAGCAGTATGTTTAATTTACCACTTAGTATATTAAGCTATGTATGAGTATTAGAGGCCTTCAAATCTGAGGAATGGTTGTTGCCAGATGCTTAGTTTTAAAATAAAGTTTATCTGATTTGCATCCAGCTGTGTTCATCTGTCAAAGTAAATGGGAACAGCTGATGGATTGCATTCTTTCCTCTCCTGAAAAACGTCATGTGGCCCCATGTAAGAGATTTAAAAGCAATGACATGGAAACCGACTTGCACCACATTGCACACAACTGCAGATGTTATTTTTCTCCCAATCTAAATAACCATTGTTTTATAGTTCACTATTCTAGGATCAGGATGTCTTTCAGGACTACCATATTCAGGCTGTAAAAATCTAGCTTTTGTTGCAAGCTAATATTATCTGCCTTTTTTCAACCAATTTTCTCATAACTGTTAAGGTGCTGACTAGAAACTACGAGACCATGAGTTCTAGTCTTTCCTTAGGCATGGAAGCCAGTTGGATGATTTGGGGGGGCAGTTCATTCTTTCTCAGCACTGTTGTTGTGGGAAAAATAGAAGACAAGGCATTATGCGTGCCATTTGAGTTCTACCAAATAAATGTGGCAAATAAATTCTATGATACATTTGAAAAAAATAAACTGATGAAAGATTGTACAAGATTAGCTGGTACTTAAAATTCTATAGATTTTTTTTTCAATCTTGCAGAATTAAGAGATGTAACAAAATGGCTAGGCTCCCTTGCTGTACTTTATCACCTTGTGTTCCTAATCACAGTTTCTTCTGCCCACAAAAAAAGAATGATTTGAAGAAGAGTGAGTTTCTTTATTTACAGATTTAACATTACCTGAATCAGGTGGTAGAGATAGACCTGTGATTTATGAGCCCTCCAAACCCACCAGGATTATCAGATATACTTTATAAAAGGAGCAGTTCCAGTTTCTCTTAATCAGAAGACATTGTGTGTGGCATAATAGCAATTGTGAGATAACAGTGCCTATGTAGTGATACTTGAACTCTTCAGGCTGATCATGGCAGAGGCTAGCTTTAAGAGAGCTGAGAGAAAGAAATGCAACAGCAACAATTTTCATTGTCATTCTTGGGCACAATATGGCTTCAAATGAAAAAAAAAAAATCAACACCATTTTAAAGTGGCTCATTAATCACAGAGCACCCCCAGGATTTACTTTAGGGAGTTAGTCAAGGAACTCCCGGAGCAGTTTAAAGATCATGACAGTGCTTATGGGGTAAGAAAGGAAAATGTTTTGCCAGGTGTGGAACTCTGGTAATTTTGAAATAATGCAATTTGTAAATTGCAATAATTAAAAAAGAGAGAAATAATAAAAACTACGTAGGTTTGGTCCGTTTTAAATTAATCTTAACAAATACAGCAAAACTTGTTTCTGGTGCATTATAATTTGAATAGATCTATTAGTCCCAGAAGAGTTCAAGGCATGCAGCCAGCTGAACTTGATGTGTGAGGGACTTTTTTTTGCATCATACAGAGGCAATTCAAAACACCACAACTAAGATTTATGAACACGTGTCCTAAAAATATGAGTCAATAAAACTATTTTCAGCCATTCTAATCTACAATTAGTTTTTCTATTTACCCATGGCTACTCAGTAAAACTATTTCAAAATAGTATACTATTGAGTATTTTTAAAACTAGATACCACAAATATTATTTTTATATCATACGTACATATACATTTTATTCAACTGAGCTCCTATGTATACAGGGGGTCCTCGACTTACAACAGTTCATTTAGTGACCGTTCGAAATTACAACAGCACTGAAAAAGTAACATCTGACCACTTTTCACACTAATGACTATTGCAGCACCCCCATGGTCATGTGATCAAAATTCAGATGCTTGGAAACTGACTCACATTTATGACCGTTGCAGTGTTCTGGGGTCATGTGCTCCCCTTTGCTACCTTCTGACAAGCAAACTCAATGGGAAAGCCAGATTCGCTTAACAATTGTGTTAGTAATTGAACAATTGCAGTGAACAACTGTGGGAAGAAATGTAATAAAATGGAGCAAAATTCACTTAACAAATGTCTCGCTTAGCAACAAAAATTATGGGCTCAATTGTGGTTGTAAGTCAAGGACTACCTATATTTGCATATGTAAATGGATTTCACTTGAACTAAAACATGAAAGAAAAGAAATGGGAGGAAATGTACAGTGTTGTGGCCCAATTATTTATGAAGAGTTTGCAATATTTTGGAATCAAACTATGATTTGATTTTCCAAATCAAAATTCTGGCAACTGCCTGGACAAGTTTTTGCAGATTACTTGGCAAGATTTTTGGAAATAGTTTGCCTTTAATTTTTTTCCCCTACAGCTAAGATTACCAGATATCTGAACAGGTGAAGGAGTACATAGACAATTGGAAAGGAAGACGCACTAACTACTTAACATAATGAAAATTACAGTGAAAAATTACAAAGTACTTGAGCCTGCAAGTATATGAAATTACTTTTTCCAGAATCAGGCTGGTTCTTCAATTATAATATTTTTCTTACAAATCTCTATTTTCAGGAACGTACACAGACAATCATTTAGTTGATACTAAAGCACTATACCAGCTATGGCAAATCTAGACAGCATACTAAAAAGCAGAGACATCACCCTGCCAACAAAAGTGCGTATAGTCCAGGCCATGGTTTTCCCAGTTGCAATGTATGGCTGTGAAAGTTGGACCATAAGAAAGGCTGAGCGCAAAAGAATTGAGGCCTTGAACTATGGTGCTGGAGAAGACTCCTGCGAGTCCCTTGGACTGCAAGGCGTTCAAACCGGTCAGTCCTAGAAGAGATCAACCCCGACTGCTCTTTAGAAGGCCAGATCCTGAAGTTGAAACTCAAGTACTTTGGCCACCTAATGAGAAGGAAGGACTCACTGGAGAAGGGCCTAATGCTGGGAAAGATTGAGGGCAATAGAAGAACAGAGAATGAGATGGCTGGATGGAGTCACTGAAGCAGTAGGTGTGAACTTAAATGGACTCCAGAAGATGGTAGAGGACAGGAAGACCTGGAGGAACATTGTCCATGGGGTCGTGATGGGTCGGACACGACTTCACAATTAACAACAACAAAGCACTATACCAGTTTCACCATAGAAATGTATGACAAGTCATGTGATCTATAGACTACAGTGAAAATAAATTTGAAAAGACTGAATTGAAACCGAATATTGGAATTAAGAAATAAAGTAAACAACTTTAAATCTAGGCTGTTGAATCTGCTGATGGACAAGGGAAAGAAACAGACAAGTTACAAGGTCACAATAAGTAAAAGTCTAAATGACTACTGAAAACAGTCCAAAATTTTTAAAAAAACAAAAACACTCAAAATCGAACGATATTTTAAGACTATGCCTGGCAGATAGAAGGCATCAGGATAAAAGGAGGTCATGTGCTCCTTCTGCCACATGTCAGGTAACTCTACTAAGAACTGAGCGTGAATGGCCCAAGGTCACCCAGATCACTTCGTGTTAAAGCAGCATTTCAACTCAAAATCTCTTCGTTTCTAACCTGATGTCTTAACTACTGCACCAATTGACTGGTGATAAAATAGGAGTGATTTGTTGATCTGCTTCTTTTTATCAACATCAGATGCTATACAATATGCTTTCACTGTTCATCCTATAAAATAGTATGAAAGTATGAGCACATTCTGAAAATAAGAAAATGCAGACTAATATATTGCATGATATCTGACTTTTTTTATAGAATATGAGGATAACCTTGAAAAAGTAACACAAGAACAGTGTTGTAACTAAAAAATTAGTTCTGAAATAGCTGTCTTATAAACTCCTTGTGACAAGCAGCTGTCAGGAGTATTTGTGGGCAATCTCATGTCCTCTTCTCATCTGGAGAGGAATTATAAAAGGCTGGTCTATAGTACTTGCCAGCTCTTCATTCTGCCATTGTCATCCGCTTCACTTTTTAGAACCATCTAAAACAGCGGTTCTCAACCTATGGGTCGCGACCCCATTTGGGGTCGATCGACCATTTTACGGGGGTCGTCAAACAATGCGATCCGCCATTTTCCCCCCTCAGGGGGCGGCGCCGCGCATGCGCACGGTGCCACGCATGCGCAGCACGTTCGTGTGAGGGGGGTCACCGTCACACGAACGTTGAGAAACGCTGATCTAAAAAGTTTGCCATTTATTTCCTGGAACTCTCAGGATCATAACAATTTTTGATTGAATTTACAGTAATTTGTCTATGTAGTCGTTAAGAATAAAAAGCAACTTGATGGCACATAATCAATTTCTCATTTCTCTGAATCTGACCACTTTTGTTTCTCATTTCTCATGTGGCCATTCTTATTTTAATGTCTCATTCTCATGCTAGATTGAGATTTTTTAAACAAAAGCTTGCTCTACAACTTTTATCAATTTTTGTGCATGCTGCTCCAAAGGTTAACATTTTTATTAATATGTTGTAGTTTTTGCAAATTATTTTACACTGATTATGCACCGATATAGCGCACTATATTTTGTCTAAATAATTTGC